GCGCCGGGCTGGGAGTGGTGCCGGCCACTCGGTGCTCAGGGAGATGTGACACAGAACGTGCAGAACAGGACGAGTGAGCCAGGAGCTGAGCTGGGGCCAAGCTCATGGCTAGGAGTGAGTAACCAGGACAGGGCTGTGCTTTTCCAAGCCCTGCCAGCCAGCTCGCTGCCAGCACTGTGTCATTCCTGACTCAGTTTACTTTAAAATCCGATACTGCGTCCCCCAAACAACCCAAATTCTTCCCTGCAGCCAGAGCTCTACACTGGGAGTGAAACAACTGAGAGCACAAGAGCCCTTCCCAGTGAGATCTGCACTCCACAGGATGCTCCTGGGAGTTAGACATTCAAATATCCCTTTCATTGGCTCCTAGATTATATGTTGTTCTCATATTTGAGCTAAAACTTGCTGATTTTTATCTCCTTTTCTGGCATTTTGAAGTAGGACCCCCAGCACAGAGAAATGGGGTCCCACTGCAGTTTTGAGTATTAATCCCTGCTGGCATCTGTAAAGCTGAGCCTGAATTTCAGCTAAAATATTTTATTGGACTGTTAGGATCCACGCCAAGTCTACCAGAGCTCCCGAGGCTGTGAGCATCAGGAATGATGAGGGAACTTGGTGGCACCATTTGGGCACTGGGAAATGCTCAAAATGTCACTTCAGGCCACAGGGGAAAGCTGGGAAGGACTAAAGAAATATAAGGAAAATATATATAAGGAAAATATAATGTAAGGAAAATTCCCTTAGCTTGCACTCCTTCTCCTCACGGGTGGAAATTAGAGGAGGAAAAAATGAATGAGTGAATAAAAAAAAAAATAATTAAAACTTAAATACCAACAACAATTTGTCAATTTTTCAGCCCTCCCCAGGCCTTACTTGAACTTGGGCACTGCTAAATATCAATTTATGAGGTGGCCCTGGTTGGAGCTGGATCTCCTTGGAGAGGGGCAAGCACAGGAGCTGCTCAGCTCTGGGGAGTCAGCGAGTTCTCCGTGGAAAGCTGCAATTCCCTGCTGTGTTTATTTTCAACCCCTGGGATGCTCTCCTGCCAGGCTGGAAGCGTTCCTGGGTGGCAGGGGAAGGAAATTTTTCCCTTCCAGCTGGAGCTTTTTGTGGAGCAAACAAACTGCTGGTGTTTGTTTTCCCACTCAGGGCCGGTTTATCAATAAATCCCGGGGATTTGTCGTTGTGTTTATAAACTTTGTGGAGGAGATGAAGCCTCAGGATGTTTTTGCACAACGCCTGGCACATCTTGATCTCAGCAGAAATATTCACGTGCAGGTGCTGTTATTCAGCTTTTAATATATTGGTGGTTTTCCCTCCCAGTTTTCTGAAGCATTATTCCAAAATTCGTGCAGGTGGGGAGCAAATTACTTAGAGGGATTCCTTAGAACTAAATTCAATGGTTTGGAATAGAAGCCAGATTTGTATTTTAATGTATCTTCTCAAGGCTCTAAGAGCATATTGATGTACAGTAAATTGTAAATAGATTATTGGAAATAGCTGATTTAACTTTATTTTTGATCCCTTTTGACTAAAGGTCTCACAAACCTCTGCAAGTCTGGACCAAGTCACTTAACTCTGAAGGCAAAATACAAATTGCAGCTCAGGTCCCAGGAGTTAATTCAGGAATTCCTGGGTAAAATATGCAGGCCGAGGTTCTGAAGACAACCAGTGCTCACTGTTGGAATAATTGCTGATAATCTATGAATTAATTTGAGATTTTCACAGTTGAAACAAGCTGGAAACTACAGCTGTGCTGAGTTTTGGGTTAATAAATGTCCTTGGTGATGGGTGGCAGGAGAATCAGCTGTGATGTTCATCCTCCCCTAAATTCTGCTGTTTGACACAATTGAGCACTGGGAGAAGGAAATTGGATTTTCATCACCATTGCCTATCAGGGATCAACTCCTTTCTCCAAGGTCATGCAGGAAGTAAATTAAGACAGAGTGGCCCAAAGGTTCAGACTGATGTTTAAATTTGTCCTTATCTGCTAATCTTTAAATATAAATATCTGTATCAGCCAAAATTAATTAAAAATACAGGAAAAATAAGAGTGGATTTGTAACCATAATTTTCCTGGTGATAGGCTGTGAAAATTGACTTTTCCTTTGGAATCTCATGGAATTCCCAAGCACTAGCACACACCAACCTCAAGCAATACTACGTGAACACAACAACAGAGAACAGAAAATTAATTCCTTACAGCTCAAAGACCAGAAGGCATCTCAATAATAGCTTGTTATTATTTGGTATAAGATAAAACGCAAAAGGAGAGGAAAAGAAGTAAAAAAGTCCCACTAAATCAACACAAATCACAATTTCCCCCAAGGTTTCCAGCAATAACAAGACCTGGACACGAGTTTTGCAAAAGACAATTTTTTTTTTGGGTTGTTTGTTGTTTTTTTTTTTAAAGGAAAAAAAAAGAGGGCTCTAAAATACTTAATAAAAAAAAAAAAAAGGCAGGAAAAATAAAACAAAAAGCACCTTTAGAAAGGGAGCAGGAGGCGCAAAGCAAGTGGGTGGGGAGCCTGGGGGAAACCAAGGCTCCCACCCAGCCACGGGGCTGCGGTGAAATGAACTCAAACCTCGGCTCAGTTTGGGGGCTGTGCGTGACAGGAACAGCAGGAGGGACCCTCCTTCCTTTTGGGGGGCTCGGGGACGGGATGGGGACAGAGGAAAGAGGGGGACACAGAGGGAGAGAGAGAAAGGAGAGCCCTGACACAGGAGCTGCAAGCGGAGGAGCCATGCGAGGACAGCGAAGCCGGGGCTCGCCCTGGAGGGACAGTGGCACTGTGGGGGCTTGGGGAAGGGGACAGTGGCACTGTGGGGGCTGGGGGAAGAGGGAAAATGTCACTGCAGGGGCTGGGCTGCAGTTTGAGTCCCTGCACAGCCCCGCTGGCGGGGTTCCTGGCGGTGGAAGGCACTGGAGGCCCCGGGCGCGGTGGGTGACGCACGGCCGGGAGGCAGAGCTGCTCTGGCCCTCGCTGCACGAGGTCTCAGTGGAGGTAGGTGGGTTGGTTCCATCGGTACCAGGAGCTGTGGGCAGCATGGAACAACGAGAAGTTTCGCCTCGGAGTAAAAATCATTTTGATTTCCCGCGCCGCCCGGCTTTGGGTCGGCACGTCCCGCGGGTTGTTCAGCAGGAATCGCATCCTGCCACTCCCGAGAATCCCAGAATATCCTGAGCTGGAAGGGGCCCACCAGGGTCACCAAACCCAACTTCTGTCCCTGCACAGGACACCACAACAATCCCACCCTGTCCCTGAGAGGTCACGCATGAAGCCTGACACTCCACACTGCTGGAATCCCTAAGGATTTCCCTGTTCTTCCTGGAGATCCCGGTGTTCTCCTCCAGCCCCCGACACCCTGGGTTGGTCTGGGGTTTTTTGAGGGCTGTGCCTTACCCTGAAGAGTTGAAGCCAGAGGAGTTCATGGCAGCTTTGGAGTTGCTCTGGGCTGTGCCGGGGCTGGTGGCATGGAGGGCACTGCCAGGGGACGAGGGCCTGCTGGAGTTCCCTGGGGAGCACGAGGATGTCACTGTGTGGGACAGAGCACAGTGAGCCTGGCATCTCTTCCTGCCCAAACATTCCCAGCCCATCCCCGTGCCCACCCCGTGGCTCCTCTGCTTCCCTGCCCTGGGGGAGGTGGGGGCACCCCAGGAATGTCCCCTGTTCCTGTATTTGGGGATTTCTGATCTTCAGGGAGATGTGACACTGATCCACCCTTTATCTGGCACCTCTGATTCCCAGCCCTGGTTAAGGTGGGGGCACCCCAGAAATGTCCCGTGTTCCTA